AGAGCAAACATCACACTTAATGGTAAAACATCCCTGCTAATGGTTAAAGCATTCCTGCTAATGTAAAAAAAAGATAAGGATGTCAACATCTAATCAACATTATGTGGTGGGACTTGGTCAAAGTAATAAGACAAGAAAAAAATAAGGGGTAGAATTATAAAGGAAGACAAAAAAAGTTCTCATTTTCAGATACCACTGTCTGTACAGAAAAAAATAAAATCTATAAACCACAATTATAAGTAATGGGAAAGTTTAGAAAGTCAGTTGGATACATTATTAACATATAAAAATCAAAAGCATCACTAGAAGCCAATTAAAAAATAGAAATTTTAAAATGACATGTATGAAAATGATGGGTAAATTAGAAAACATTAATACAGAACATTTTAAAAGGCTTGATTAAAGAGATTATGTTTATGGATGGGGTGACTCAATATTGTAAAGATGTCAATTCTGCCCAAATTAATCTATAAATTTAATGCAATGTCAATAAAAATCCCAACAGAGTTCTTCATTGAACTTGACAGTGCAGAGTCCAGAAAAGCTAAGCCAATGCTGAAGAAGAGCAATGTGGGCTTAATAATTAGGACATTTGATATGGGTCAGGGATAATCAAATAGGCCAACGAAACAGAGTACAGAGCCCAGCCACAGACCCATGTGTACATGCAAACCTGACCTGGAAAGAATGCAGAACTACAAGTCAGCATGGAGAGGGTGTATTTTCAACCCATGGTGATGGGACCATTGGCTAGCCATTTGACAATAAGAATCTGGGCTTCCTAACATGTACCATACTTCCATTGACTTTAGTTAGATTAAAGATATGTATAAAGAGCAAGATTTTAAGGCTCTACAGAAAAAATAAATTTATGAACTGAGAACAGAAGATAATTTTTTAAACACAACACAAAACCCACATGCTATAAAAAGTATATTTATTTAGTGTAGTCAAACTTATGAATTATACAACTTCTTTTCAAAGAAACCACAATGAAAGTTAAAAAAAAACCAAGTCTTTACGAGGACATAATTTGCAGCTCACAAGATCACCAGCCAGAATTCATCAACAACTCCTATACAACAACATGGAAAAGAAACATCCCGACAGACAGATAAGCAATGGATGTGAGCCAATAAACAAGAAAGATGCTGGGTCTTACTGTAATCGGCAAAAGGCAAAGTAATGTATTCCCCCAGTGGAATAGTACACAGCAGTTAAAATAAACAAAGTAGAGCTATAAATCTTAAAAACATTGAGTGAAAAAGATTTGTAAAAATTGACATAATTTATGCTATGCTTGAAATGAGTGAAAGCATGTTACATAGTTTAAATAAATGCTTACACATATAGTCATGGCCACAAAATCATACTTGGGAATGAAACACCAAGTCTTGGATAGTAGTTACAGTTATAGTGACATATTAAGCCCGATTATACTGGCTTGCCAGAGCCAATTCTGCATATTTATTCCTAATTCCATGTTCAGTGATGTCTTGTTAGGAGCTTGAAATCTGCTGGGGTGGGAGTGTTTGCGCCATAGGAATTGGCAAACACTGTCAATCTCAGGTTCCCCTCCCTTGTCCTCAGCCTGGAGAACTGGTCTACCATCACTGTGCCATTCTCCCCAGAGTGAAATGCAGTGGGGAGGAGTACTCATGGTGCTTCAACATTATTTGTAATGTTGTTACGCTTTATAGAATTTCTAAAGCAAATATGGCATGAGGAAAAGCTTTGATAGAGCAGGGACGGTTCATGGGTGTTTATCATAGTATTTTATGCTTTTCTGTATTTTGGAAATATTTCCTGAAAAACAAAATCTACTCAGTTGAAATGTTCAGGCCAGTATAAAACCATTTCCTTTTTGGCCTCTTTAATTTTACAGATTTAAAACTTGCTTAGTTGGTCAGAATAATATTATATGATGTTGAAAAACCTGGACCTGAACTAATAATAGAAACTTTAAAATTATTTCAAACCCCAATCATAGATTTGCTGGGCAGTTATATCTTTGAAATCAATTGATGTGGGGTGGTTTATAATAAAGGATTCATAAGAGGCATTCACATAAAAAGTCACATCCATACTCTTATTTAACCAAATCTAATAGCAAGGACATATGAGCTCTAAATTTAGACTCCAGATTTAAGAGAAATAAAAAAGAAGTGAATAGGAACATAATAGTATAGACAACTCAACTATAAAAGTTTAGTAAGAAGATACTCTTGAAAATAATAATAATGAAATAATAATAATCTATAATAATAAAAGTGTACTATGCTAATTAGACCAGACATCCTTCCGGACTCCTTCTGGACAAAGCCACAGCGGGCGGGGGTGGGGTGGGGGGGGCGCGTCAGAGGCGGCAGAGGCCCCCCCTCTCCCCGCCCCCTGGCTGCTGTGGCTGTGGGCGGGAGCCACGGCGGCAGTGGGCAGGGGCCGGGGCCAAGGCCCTTGCACGAATTTTGTGCATTGAGTCACTAATAATAATAACAACAAAAATACCACCAATAGAGATTTGACAATTCAAAATAGGCTCGGCTGGGTTTCCAGCTCTACATCCTGGAGCAAAGGACTTTCTACTCAGTACCACTGATGCCTCGTCTACAGGTGGGTACCCAGTCTCTAAGATGTGCATCTGGTCTCCCTCAGAGAGCTAAGAGGATGAAATGAGGTAGTGCATGTGCAGGAAGCTGTGTAAATGTGATCTGCAGAAGGGACAGGCACGAACATGCTCACATAATTGTGGCCCTGCACAGATGCCTCACATATCATCCGGGCACTCATTCACTCTGACTCGGGTTATTTCGGACACGTCTGACTTCCTCGCTGAGAGAAGGCCAAAGGGAAGAGAACAGGGAACCAATTCAGGACTAGAAGGGTCTTCTCAGTCTTCCAGCTGCTGCAGCCGGGGCTCCATGGCCAAGGCCCCATGTTGCCAACGCAGGCAGCCACTCCATCCCGATCTTTCTTTACATTAGGAGATGCATGAAGATTTGAACTGCAGGGAGTGGAAAACCCTTCCCGGATCACGCCACAGTGGGTCTGGAGTCAGAGAGGCCCAGGGGAGGCATGTAAGGGGATCACACACACGAAGCTCTATGGCCTCTGAAGTAAGCACTAGACAAAGTCACTGCCATCAGCTTACAGCCAAACCACAGGGAGGCTACGCCAGCGGCCTCCCAGCATCTAGGCCTCCTCCCTCCTCCCAGGTTCCAGTGCCATGGGTGGGTCTGGAAGGCTTGAAGGGTTTTACCATGGGAGACTGCAACATGGGGGTTGGGGGTTGCTCTCACACCAACACATTCCATGAACATGTGGACTCTACATTCCCTAGTTCAGCTTTTTATTGTCCTTTCACTATTTTCTTATTACTGTGTTTATTTGATCTAGACAGTGTTTCTCAACCATGGTGCACATTGCAAACATCTGAAGACCTTTTAAAAATTCCTGATGCCCTGGCCCCACACCAGTCTAATTAACCAGAATTTCTGGGTGTAGGAGCTACCATATTTAAGAAAAAAAGAAAAAATAAAACAGGCTTCCAGGTGATTCCATCTAGTGAGTAGTCCAGGTTGAGAACCACTGTCTTGGAACATGCAAACTGGGTTTTGAAGTTTACTGAATCATACGACAGAGAAGTGGCAACACCGGTATTGTATTGTTGACATCCTAGGTTTTCAAATTTGAAGGATGAGTTGATGCAATTCAGTTGGCACGTCTCCCAGAGGCCAGGCTGCGCTAGGGGTTAGGGACTCACCGGTGGCCAAGGAGATGTGGATCCTGCCCTCAAAGAGCTCACATATACCAATTTCAACATGAAAAGGGGGATTTATCATTTGCACTGTGGCTGAGGCACACGATGACAGGACACCGTAGAACTTCACAATGGGATTTACCATAACACAGTCGGTGTCATTCCTGGTTAATATGTTGGTGTTTCCTTTGTGCTGGCAGTGAGCTAGGCTCTTTAGGTAGATCAGCTCACTGAAGCTTCACGGTAACCATATGAGGTAGATATTCTTATTGTTTCTATTCATTCAGTCAGTCATTCAGTCAGTCATTCCACAGAAGTTCGGATGCCCACATGGGCCAGGCCTGTTTTAGGCACTTGGGCAGTAAAAACAACAACACATGGATCCCTGCCCTCAGGCAGTATTCTGCGAGTGCGATGGGGAAAAAGAGAAACAAGAGATGTATCCTAAAAGTCAATCATATCGTATTCTGGGAGAGAAAGAGCAGAGCAGGTAAGGTGTGTGTGGGGGGCGCCCAGTAAGTGCTTTGAGATAGGAAGAGTTGAGCAAAGACTTGAACTGAGGACATTGTTTATTCTACTCCATCAAAGACTCACCAAAGGATATGCCCATGGCTCAGCTGAGAAGCAAACCCAGATACTCTGGAAACGGTCTGTGGTTAACCTGCCTACTACCTGGTCTTCCAAAAAGTATCACACTCCGTTTTAATAACTGATGTTTGCCCAGCTCCTTCGGCTCCATCTGCCTTGTTTACTACAAACACGGTCTACCAGTAAGCCCAGTGCCCGCTACATAGTAGGTACTTAATACATGTTTGAGTTAAATCAATCACTTTTAACTTTCATTATTACCGAATATGAATTAATATATAAACGACTTCAAGTATTTATTGTGTGTTTATGGTGTTCTGCCCACACCCCAGCCAGAAGAAATTTTCAGAAAATGCAATGGAGGTGGGACGCTGCAGATGAAGCTGGCGTGGATTTTTGGGTGCTCAGTTCACATCATGGTGAGGAAGGAAGATGCTGCTGCTACAGGTCTCTCGTCTGAGCCAGGGGGATGGAGCGGGACAGGATATTGAGTAAATGGGAGACAAGAATACTTCAGGGGAAGACTTCATGGCACGAGAGCCCACACATTTTATGAAGTCAAATCAGCTGCTGGAGATATTTTCTTAGGCTGCATTCATTTGAGAGACATACATAATGTCCCGGTGTGAGAACAATCTTTGGTGTACTGACTTACCTATTGAAGTGGTAGATATCCTGTATGTTTCCAAAAAGCGCTGATCTTTCTTCTGTCCCCAGAGGAAGTTTGGTTTGGTCCCTGATGCAGTCAAGGTAATCCTAGGAAATCAAGGAGAAAGAGGTCAAACATTGCTGTCCTTCTGCAAGTCATCTTTAGTTTGCATGATGTACCTTTTACATCAGTTTTAGGTAATTATTAAACTAATGTGCTCATTAACTCTACTATGAAAATACAGAGTCTCTCTTTTATTGATGATGATAATACTTAGCATATTCATAGAATGGGGGATTTTGAGCAAAGAGAGTGTCATCTACATTCATTATCTACTCCCACCTCCACATGCTTTAGAGCTTCCCTGGATGGATAATATAATAACAAGTTACCAATAATATCAGAGTTTTGACATAAAAACATCGTCTGCTGTTTCCTTGAAAGATATGATATCATGATATGTTCAAAGATACTCCAAAATTCACACAGTGAAAAGCCAGAAATACAGATCTTAAAATTTCTCATCATAAGAAAAATAATTTGTAACTATGTGAGGTTAACATACCATAGCACTATATATATATTGTATACCTTAAACTAATTCAATGTTATATGTCAATTATATCTTTTGTGAGTGTGTGTGAATATCTTAATGAAACTGGAAAAAAGTGACAGAGTTGATTTAAACATAACCTTTAAATTAGAAAGAACTCAGTTGTTATAGAACTAAATTCTTCTCCAAATATCAATTTATAAACACACACACACTTTTTTTTTAAAAGCACATGATTCAGGCTATCTAATAGGCTATGTTAATGACCCATGGAAAACTCTGAAATGAATTTATTTGTTTTAACATAGAAATAGCTGCAAACAGAGTTAACTGGGGCTCAGACCACAGTGGGTTAAATGTACGTGGCTGAGAAGCTATGTGAACTGCTGAGAGAGGGAAACTCCTTTCCGCCCCCTGCGCTAAAGAGTTCATAACGGAGCGTCCCCTCTTCCCCTGGCAATGCTTGCAAAAGGAACCCAGTGGGAGGCAAGAAGACCATAAAGAAAAAAGTGAAAACAGCTGAAATAACGTAAAATAGAAAATAAATACAATCCCCTGCCCTGGGCTGAAGGATGTACCATGGCCGTCCACCAAATGTCACAGGGGCTTCGGCAACATTTAGAGGAAGGAACCCTGTGAAAATCAGGCAGCTGCACAACCTCATTCCAAAGCCCACTTCCAACAAACCATGGCCCATCCCAGTCACAAACACAACAGGAGTGAGATGCAGCTAGCAAAAGGGGAAAGCGAAATTTAAGCACCATCAGATAATTGTTTCTTTTCTTTTAATAACCCAGCCATTCTCTCTTGCACTCTATGTTCGGCAGATAAAAAACAGGCAGGGTTTCGCCATTAACTTTCTCAGTAGCACATTTCACAGGTGGCATCAAATAACTTTAAACATTCGAGTTTCTTAGCATTAAGGTCACTGTCATGCATGAACCCATGTTCATATTTTTTTAGAAACAAGCTTTGTGGTAACATCTGTTCTTCTTAAGAGAGTGAATATCTCAATAAGAAATTAGACTCACAAGGTTTAAGTGCAGTTGTCATTAAAAACCCACAATACCAAGACCTAGTCTCCTTACTTTCATGAATGGAACAATTAGAAGAGGCTTACGTATCCACACAGGATACAGAATTAGTATCAAATAAGAAATGCTGAAGGAAGTTAGAGCTGATGTAATAGCATTTTGAACACGTGAAAACTAAACTACATTCCCTCAAAGAACAAAAAACCCTTCCAAAAACATGTATTCACTGATATTTTCATAAACTTATATATGGAACATGGTCCCAAAGGATGGGCTAACATTGAACTTGTACTGAATGGTTATATCTGATAGTTGCTTAATACTTTGATCAACATTTAAAAATATATATATTTTTACTGATTTTAGAGAGGAAGGGAGAGGGGGAGAGAGATAGAAACATCAATGATGAGAGAGAATCATCATTGGCTGCCTCCTGCACGTTCCACACTGGGGATTGAGCCTGCAACTCAGGCATGTGCCCTGACCGGGAATTGAACCTTGACCTTCTGGTTTATAGGATGACCCTCAATGGGCTTGGTCAATACTTTAAAAGGACAAATTGTACACAAAATTAGGAAGGTAGAACCATAGGATATGGATGGGTATGAAATTTAAAAAGTAAAACAGGAGACTATGAATGGGCATGATCAGCACCGAAAGGCAGGACGAAGGGAGGGACAAAGGTGACGGACACATGCCAACCCCACCTGGCTGGCTGCATTGGGGTTTAATGAGAAAACGAACAATCCTTTTCCTCACTTCAAGTGCGAAGCTTGCTTATTTGCTGAAACCTGAAGCCACATTCTTCATGCGAGGGAAAGATGGAGTTAAGGGGCTTGAAGAATTTCATCTGGGGAGAGAGAGACAAAGAACCATGGCCCACTTCCAACAAATAATGGCCCTTCGCCAACTGAAAGCATTTCAAAACTCCGGAGTCTGTGGTAGAGAAACTAGATTGTAAAAGCTGCTTGTTTTCTGAAATGGTTGAGAAAATAGATCGTTAGGAGTCCAAATTTTTGCAGGCCGCTCTAGAAAACAGATCAAAGTCCTGTGGCCACAACTTGTTCCCCCTGCTGATCATAGTTAAATCCTTTAAATATGATACTTTAACCTTAAACCAGTTCCTGAAAACTACTGTAGCATGCACTGCATTAGCAGCTGTAATCATCTGAGGCCAAAATGAGAGGTTTGCAGCTCAGTGATAATAACGGCTCATTCTGTGCTCAAATGACAGAGCAAGGACACCAAAAAATGTATTAGAGCCTGTCAGGCCGATTATTAATTTTATTGGCTTGATGTTGGCACCCGTTGCTACCTTATTGTGAACAATAAAGGATCAATTTAAAACTTTTGCATTGAAAACACTTATTCTCCAAGAGGATCAAGAATTTACTCTATGCCCTGACCGGTCACACACACACACACACACACACAAACTTTTCACCATTTGGATAATTTTGTTACAAAGTTTTAAATTTTGCCTAAAGTATTTCTTTCCCCATCAGTATATGCCTTTAAGATCTCCACCATTATAATATTTGTACATGAGTCCTCTCCTCATAAATGCTGAACAATAAAGGATCAATTTAAAACTTTTGCATTGAAAACAATTATTCTCCAAGAGGATCAAGAATTTACTCTACTCTGGGGACACACACACACACACACACACACACACAAACTTTTCACCATTTGGATAATTTTGTTACAAAGTTTTAAATTTTGCCTAAAGTATTTCTTTCCCCATCAGTATATGCCTTTAAGATCTCCACCATTATAATATTTGTACATGAGTGTCCTCTCCTCATTAATGCTTCCATTCCTTGTAATGTCTATTATTGAAAATATGTGATAATCTAATTTGGTGCTATTCGAGGTGTGAATGAACAGGAGCCAGTTAAACTGCTGGTTACTGATGTGCAGCAAGGTGAGTGCAGAAATCGAGAGGAAGCCTGTCGAAACTTTTATAGCATTTTGACAGAATGAGATATGTAGAGTCTAATGATAAGTTGGGACTTGTATTGTGTCTGATTTCTTCTATTTTAGTTTTCTACTAATTCTTGTTATTATTGTATTTTTCAAAAGTGTCAGTGTGTGGCTGATTGTAAACCTGTTTCCACCCCCCCTCCCCCCACACACACACACGTTCCTCATGATAGATAGGAAGAGAAGCCTTGGTGTGGGGAACCATCCAGCAGAGATGCTGTAGAAACTGGGGAAGAATTCAAATTCAAATTCAAAAAGGTTCCGTTCATAAATCCTGCTCACATTTCAAAATTCTACCTACTGATTAAAAAAATTAAAAAAAAAATTTATTTCAGAGAGAGAGGGAGCGGGAGAGGGAGAGAAAGATAGAAACATCAAGCACGCCCCCTACTGGGGATCGATCCCACAATCCGGGCATGTGCCCTGACTGGGAATCGAACCATGACCCCCTGGTTCATGAATTGATGCTCAACCACAGAGCCACACCAGCAGGACCTACCTACTGATTTTATGGTTTATGCTTTTCTATCTCCTTCCTGTTGTTCGCATTTCCAAATCCCAAGCCTTCTGCTGTAACTCCTCTTCAAGACTTTTGCCTTTATTTTGGAGGAAGCACCTTCTGTTTCTCCAACTGCTCCACCTTTTCCAGAAACGAGTCATGTCTTTATTTGGAAACCTGCCTTCCAAATGCCCTGTTACACTGGGCGCCATGGATACCACAGTAACTGACACTTGTACAACGCTTTACAGTTTAAAAGCACATTTACATTCATTCGTACAAGAACCCTCCTTCCCCCTTTTTTCTGAGGACACAGGAATGCACGCCAAGCTCTGTTTGACAAGCTAGGAATTTAAAAATGAATAAAACATGATCCCTTCCCCAAGGAGCTCCCTGTGTAGCTGGAAGACAAGTGTAAACAAATAAGGGCCATGCAGTGTTCAGGCCACACCACTGGTAGGTACACAAGCGTGTTCCAGGGCAGGAGAGGCGGATGGAGGAGGGGCGGGGGAGCTGGGCCTTTATGGATGACCAGGTTCTCTGAAAATAGAGAAAGGAGTAGGAAGGCGATGACTACATCCAGGAAGATAGAAAAGCGTGAACAGAAGCGCAGGGTAAGGAATGCGGGTGCAGACAGGCCACTAAAAGGGGCTGAGAAGAGCTAGAGGGGGCAGGGCACGTGCCTGCGCACACAGACCCGAGGCGGGGCTGTAATGGGAGACCTGGCTGGAGTGAGGACAGGACCGATCACGGAGAATCTTCCA